AATATAATGAAAATGAAATATAGTAAAGTCCTAAACAGTGGTGAATCAGGAAAAAGGTTACTGAATTTTTCAGACTGTAAGACACTCTGGACCATAACATGTACCTAGGTTTTAGAAGAGGAAAATAAGAAATAAATATTAGAAACAAAAAATGTGGTAAAATATTTAATAACATATGCCACCCCCCTCCACCCCGCCACAATGAGCCTGGTAAGCTACATTCGGACCATAAGACACACACTTTTTTCTCTCAATTGCGGGGGCGGGGGGGGTGTGTCTTATAGTCCAAAAAATACAGTATATAGAATTTCTTTATCTTATCTTTAGAATTTTAAGTTTGCAGTTATTTAAAAATAAAATAATAACAAAGAATAAACAAATGAAAGCCTGAGTTTATGATGAAAGAGACTTGAGTGAGTTCAAAGGAGGATTTGGTCTCACTTCCCCATGAACTTGCACCACTGTGGAGAGTGCTAGGGTTTCTATATGAAGCACAGTAATAATCAGCCTCATCCTCAGCCTGGAGCCTAGAGATGGTCAGGGAGGCCGTGTTGCCAGACTTGGAGCCAGAGAAGCGATCAGGGATCCCTGAGGGCCGACTTTTATCATTACATATCAGGAGTTTGGGGACCATGCCCGGTTGCTGTTGGTACCAGGAGACATAATTACTATACCCAACATCATTGCTGCTTCCAGCACAGGAGATGGTGACAGACTGTCCAGGAGATCCAGACCCTGAGGCAGGCTGAGTCAGGGGAGTCTGGGCCCAGGAACCTGAAAAGACCAAAAACACACTCAGTGCTCAGTTCAGTGCAGAGCCATGTGAGTCTGAAGAGGAGACACAAAATCAGCCCAGATATCCCCGTGGTCCCCACCCGGGAGGCCTCACCTGAGCTCTGAGTGAGGAGGGTGAGGAGGATCAGAGACCAGGCCATGGTGCAGATTCCCCAAGAGTGTTGCCTTCTGAGACCCCAACACTGAGCCTGACCCCCCAAAACATCTCTTATTCTCTCCCCCTGCTTTAGAGGAGGGAGGGCACCTCCATGCAAATCTGCTTCCTGCACCTGCCTCACCTCACCCCACTCTGACCTGACCCTTGATCTAGATGCTTCTCTGCAGAGGACATGACAGAAAATTTAAATGGTCTGTGACATTTTGTTCTCACTCACAACACACTGAGACCATTATTCGGGTGCCTAGGAAATGGAGCCCATGTGGATGTTCCTGACCTTCCTCTTGTAGGAAACAGGGTGGCTCTTGGCTGAGGAATATAGGGACCTCCCACCGACACATCTGGGAGGAGAATGAAGATGGGGTCTGAAGTTCAGTACAAAAAAATCCAGTCATTACATTCTCTCAAAGGAATGGATCAAAGGCAAACTGGCATCTCTCATTCTTTCTCAACTTTTCTTGAAGCTCCTCAGTTGAAATGAATCCTTATTTATCCTTTGTCCTAACCTCTATAATGTTAGAGGCTCAGAAATATTTATTGTCATTTCTAGAAGTAGAAATACTGGGACACTACACATACAGGGTATTCCATACCTTTAACAACCCACTCAGGATACTGTCAGGGCAAAGGTCTTTTAACACATCAGATAGGTCTTGTATGCCACACTAAGTGCCTTTCCCAAATTCAGGCAACGCTGCCCCCTGGTGGCTACAGATGATTTAACCCAAGCACCTGAGAAGGCAGTTGAGTGGGAGCTGGAAAAATCTGCTCTGTTCCCTTCTTCTCTTTTAATTCCCATCCAGTTTAGTACCAGCTCTCTAAATATCCTTTCCATCCATCTGAACTCATTTATCTTTGTATCCTTTTTCCTTTAAAACAGAATGTCAACTGCCCAATGAGGTAGTCTAGACCCTCCCCATAGGATCATTGAGCTGTCTCTGCTGTCTTGTCACAGAGTTGGTGATCCTGGGGCAGTTTTAAGCCTGGGCTGAGGAAAAATCAGACATGAAATAAAATCAAATATAGGAGGAAAAATGGATGAAGAAAATGGGACAATGGGAAGACAGATTGACTTCCCACAATGCTGAAATACAGCATAAGCACTGAGGGAGAGAGAGTTCAGTAGGACTCATTACAACTGAATGGATAGTGGGTAGTGGACTTCTTGTGTTTGAGCTTCTGGGAGGTGACAAGTCAGGATTAACAAAGAGTTCAACTTCAGAACTTGTCCTCAGAGTGTGTTTGTCTTGTCACATGAGTCACACACTGACCTTCATCATGCCCCCTCTGTAGAACATGGAGATGAGCTCAACTGAGAGCTGTGTGACTTCATGAGACACAATCTTCCCCATCCACAGAGAGATGTTTGGTCTGGTGTATTTTTCTGGAAAGAGTTGGGTTTGCAGAAAAGATGAATAAGGACTGACTGGTCCTGGCCAGATTGAAATGGAAATGTTCTCAGAAAATGACTGGAGGTTCTAGGGATAAAAATGCTCCAATAACACGATTTTTTAAAAGATTTTATTTATTTATTTTTAGAGAGGGAACGGAGGGAGAAAGAGAGAGAGAGAGAAACATCAATGTGTGGTTGCTGGGGGCCGTGGCCTGCAACCCAGGCATGTGCCCTGACTTGGAATTGAACCTGCGATGCTTTGGTTCGCAGCCGGCGCTCAGTCCACTGAGCTATGCCAGCCAGGGCTAAAGTGCTCCAATAACACTATTTTAATGTCATTGTTAAGATGACATCACAGCAAAGAGAGGTGACACTCTGGCCTAGGAGGGCACCCATTTATGGCAGCCTCCGGCATTGGGGGAGAGGACATAGGATGTGGGAGGAAGTGACAGTTTTCTATTCCACACAGGTGTTTCAGTGCGGGTACTCTCATCATTTATGTGCTGTGTGATGAGATTTAAAGAATAACATCTCTAGTGTAAAATCATAGTAAAGTGGTGGTAATCAATGACCTGTTCAGAGATCTATCCACTGGACCTGTGCATCAAGTAGACTGGATCCTTGTCTCCTGGGAAAACTGTGCAGGGGCCCCTGTTCTACTTTCCAGCTATCCACCTGGTTCCAACAAGAAGCAGACCTCTGGTCTTCTCTTGGTTCCACCTTGTCCTCATTGCTGGTTCTCCTAGTACCAAGAGCCCCCAGTGTTGCAGAAGTGCACATTCTCTTGTAAAATTACTCTATATGTGTACCCAGAGGATAAGACATGGCACAGAAACACTAAGTATGACAGCCACCAAAGTAGGCAAAATGAACACTTGTAACTAGGATTAATAATCAATAAAGCCAAGCAAATAAATTAAAATACACAAATATTTATGCCCAAATGCATACTTTCATGTCAAAATGAATGTGATGGTTCCTTAAATATTGCAATTAAGCCCTGACTGGTGTGGCTCAGTTGGTTGGAGTGTCATCCCCAAACAGAAGTGTATGAGTTAGATTCCCCATCAGAGCACATGCCTAGGTTGTGTGTTCAGTCCCCTCTCTGGGTGTGTACAGGAAGCACCAATTGATACTTCTTTCTCCAATGGATGTTTTTGTCCTTTCCTTCCTCCTTCCCTTCCTTTTTCTCTAAAGTTAATGAAAAATTGTCACTGGGTGATGATAAATATAAATTTGCAGTTAAGAGGGCAAAGATGAACTATCCAGAATTGGTTCATTATAAAAAGAGTGGCACCTGACACAGACATGGTGTGGACAGGTGTAATGTCACTGTCTTGTGATGCCAAGTCCTTGACTGTTTCTACAGAAAAACATTGGTGGAGATATTCACCATACTGACACATAGAGCATCCTTTTCTCTTTCATCACAAATAGCCCTTTTCCATGCATCTGAAAAAACACTTAAACCGGTATCTGTTACATTATATAAGAAAATGCAGAGGGCTGTTCCTACAATTGGACACTCCCAATACACAAGAAACAAAGTGCATTTGTTACTTCAGATAGATCATGTTACATATCTTGTACGCCCAACATCTAGCTACTGGCTGTCCTTCTAAGAGTCCCTCTTGTAAAATAGTGACTACCTTCTCAAAAGGCAACTGTGGTCCCACATTAGAGGAGAAGCACTAGAAAAGTGGTTATGGGGGCTCCTGCCTTATTAGTATATCAAAATAACTTACAAAATACTGATCTTGCTATTATAGTCAGGGTGTAGGACATGCATCTGATGCCAAGAAGGATCACCAGAGCAGTTGTCACTCTGCTTTCTGCTGCTGTTTGACACAAACATTATCACACACGCACCCTACAGGCAGGCTCACCCTGTGCCCAGCATTACACAGACTGGGGGCTGTGACTCAAGACATTATCCTGTGTCTCCAATAGCAGAGACCCTGTCCCACTGTGCTGTGACCCAGCTGGGAGGGTCCACATGTGTCACTCTTGCAGCCTGGATGATTAAAACATGAAGGTACTGACTCTTCATAGGGAAAGAAAGAAGTAACTGGAAAAATTCTGAACAAGTAACTAAAACAGAGAACATTACAGCAAAGATGTGAATCTACATAGTGTGACCATGCATGCTGACTTGACTGGGAGAGAGGTCGTTCACAAGACCTGGTGCTGTCAGGGCTGAAGCTGGGAGAGGTCTTGCAACCTCAGATGATGAGGTCACTGCACCAGGTCTTAGGGCACCTAAATGCCACCTTCATTCAATAGTCAATCAATTCTTGCCCTAGAGCTTTGTGTATTTGTACATGTGCATTTGTACTTTGTGATTCCTTTAACTGGAATTACAACTAGAAATGAGTTGGATCATCATGAAAATCGCATACTTGGGGGTGCCTGAAGATGGGAGGCACATCCAAGATATGTTTTGAAAACCAAGCAGCCATTTGGAAAGGTTCCATCATAATGGGATGGGAGCTCATGTGCAGGGCTGCTTCCTATGGAGTCATTTAGGGTTCCAAGGGGAGGAGAGAATCTGAGAGACCCAGAAAGTTTCACTCAAATTCCCACCTCAAAAATTCCTTATTAATGGAAATACTATGAGCTCAGGAAGGAAGGAAGGAAGGAAGGAAGGAAGGAAGGAAGGAAGGAAGGAAGGAAGGAAGGAAGGAAGGAAGGAAGGAAGGAAGGATGTAGGAAGAGAAAGAAAAACTTCTTTGTTCTCATCCCCACACCATTTGTGGACAACTGGATTCATGCCAGTCTTCACAGGTGTGAGTGACCATGGGATTCAAATGAGAATCTCCCAGAGGACTATGGGAAAGCTATCCAAAAAGCAGAGCACAGGGTTCCCAGTGGCTGTTACATTTAAGTGTATGAATTGATTGGCCTTTGGGATCCACAAAACACATGCAAAGGCAATAAAAAAGAGTTTCCTTTTGGATTTCATGTGAGAGAGGAGAACGACTGAAAAGAAAAAAAAGCCCACTGCATTTTCGAAGCTCTGGGACAGGAGACAAGAACAGGTAGAGAATGAACACCCCAGGCCATGCTGCATGAGCCCCCGGCACAGAGATGCGGAAGCATCTTCAGAGCCAGGAGGGAGCCTATGAATGGAGGGCAGGTTTTGGTCTCACTTCCCCATCAACTTGCACCACTGTGGAGAGTGTCAACGCTATGATATGAACTACAGTAATAATCAGCCTCATCCTCAGCCTGGAGCCCAGAGATGGTCAGGGAGGCTGTGTTGCCAGACTTGGAGCCAGAGAAGTGATCAGGGATCCCTGAGGGCCGCTTTGTGACTTCATAAATCAGGAGTGTAGGGGACTTGCCTGGGTTTTGTTGGTACCAGGAGACATAACTACCATACCCAACATCATTGCTGCTTCCAGCACAGGAGATGGTGACAGACTGTCCCGGAGACCCGGACACTGAAGGAGGCTGAGTCAGGGCAGCCTGGGCCCAAAAACCTGAAAAGAACAAAAACACATTCAGTGCTCAGTTCAGGGGTGGACCTGGGTGAGCCAGAAGAGGAGACACAGAATCATCACAGATGCCCCCATGGTCCCCTCCCTAGAGGCCTCACCTGAGCCCTGAGTGAGGAGCGTGAAGAGGAGAGGAGCCCAGGCCATGGTCGAGGAACCTCAAGAGCGTTGCCTTCAGAGACCCCAACACTGAGCCTGGCTCCCCCAGACCTCTTTTATCCATTCTTGCTACCTCAGAGGAGGGAGTGGCCTCCATGCAAATCTGCTTCTGCTCCTGCCTCTCCTCACCCGACTCAGACCTGACCCTTGATCTAGATGCTTGTCCACAGTGGACATGAAGGCTAATCTTAGAGAATTTAGATGGTGTGTCAGGTTTTCTGTTACTCCAAACACACTGAGACCATTGTTCTAGTGCCTAGGAAATAGATCCCACCTGGACATCCTGTACTGGAGGAATCAAGGTGGTCCCAGGCTGAGGAACACAGGGACATTTTTTCTGACACATCTGCCAGTAGGGCCGGGAGAAGGTCTCATGTTGGTCAGAAAATAATTGCACTATCCAAGGGCCTAAGACAGAGCTGGCACCTCTCATTCCCTCTCAGCCTTTTTTTTTTAAAGCTCCTCAGTTGAAATGACTTCTCATGTATAGCTAGTCCCACACTCTTCTGTTTCTAGGTTCATGAGCATTTTTGCCACTTATACATGTACAAATACTGGGACACAACACATACAGGGCATCCCCTTCCCTTAACCACCCACTCAGGGGAATCCCCAGGTAAGACTTCATACAGGTCTGGTAAAACACAGTGCCTCCTCCAAATTTAGACACCGATGCCCCCTGGTGGCTACAGATGATTCCACCCAAGCACCTGAGAAAGCACCAGTAGGAGCTGGAAAAATCTGTTCTGTTCCCTTCTCCTCCTCTTTTTATTCCCATCCAGCTCAGTAACAGGTCTCTAGATAACCCTTACATCCATCTGAGCTCATTTATCCTCTTTTAGAATGGAGTGTCAACTGCCCAATGAGGGAATCCCAGAGCCTCCCTTCAGAACAATTGAGCTTGTCTCTTAACTCTCTTATGACAGGTTTTGTGCTCATGATCTAGACCTTGACCTGGGTGTGGAACATTACTGTGAAATAAGATCAATTTCATGAGGAAAAATGGATGAAAAATGGTACAAAGGAAGACAGATTGACTTCCCACAATTTCAAAATACAACATACCCATGAGGGAGAGAGAGCTCAGTAGGACTGATTACTATGAAGTGGATAAGGAGAAGTGGACTCCTGTGTTTGAGCTTCTGGGAGGTGACAAGTCAGGGCTGGGAAAGAGCTCAGCTCTTGGTCTTGTCCTCAGAGTGTGTTCCTCTGTCACATGGGACACAATGTCCTTCCTTGTGCTCCCTGCATAGTACATTAAAATACCTCACCTGAGAGCTGTGTGATTTTGTGAAGCAAAATCTCCCTCATCCACAAAGAGATGCTCGGCCTGGTGTATTTTTCTGGGAAATGTGGACTTGGAGAACAAACAAATCAGGACTGACTGGTCCTGCCCAGATTGGAATGGACATGTCCTCAGATAATGGCTGGAAGTTCTATGGTTTAAAATGTTCAGAGAACACTATTTAAATGTCATTGTTTGTTCTGCATCACAGACATCGTGAAGGGCAAAGAGAGGTGACATTCTGGCCCAGGGAGGGCACAGATTTATGGCAGCATCAGGCATTGGGGAGAGGAAATGGGATGTGAGAGGAAGTGCCAGCTTTCTATTTGATACAGTTGTTTCACTCTTGGTATCCTAAACATTTCTGGGCTATATGCCATGGTTTAGAGAATATCTCTAGTGTGAAATCACAGTAAAGTGGTAGTAATCAGTGAGCTGTTCAAAGATCCATCCACTGCCCCTTTGGGTCAAGCAGACTGGATTCTCTACTCCTGGAAAAACTGTGGCGAGGCCCCCTGGGGACATTCCAGTTATCCACATAGGACAGCAAGGAGCAAACCTCTGATTTTCACTAGCTTCCACCTGTCCCTCATTCCTGGTTCCGATAGAACCGGGAACACCTCAGAACCCCCACGCTGCAGGAGTCCCCATTCTTATTTAACATGGTTCTGTATTTGTGTGACCACAAGACAAATTGTGAGACAGAAACACTAAGCATGACAGCCACCCAAGAAGGCAAAATGAACACTTGTAACTATGGTTAATAACCTATAAGGCCAAGCAAATAAATTAACTCACACAAATATTTAGTCCCAAACCCGTTCTCAGATCAAAATGAATATGATGATTCCTTTATAAACTACAGTTACACCCTGGCCAGCACAGCTCAGTTGATGTTGCATGGGTCACCGGCCAGCAGTGACCACGGAACGCTGTGGATGGCTAGACGATAAACACGCGAGAAATAACATGCACAGAGACTAGTTTCTGTGGGGAAGTAGGGACGAAAATGGCCACCCCCCTAGTGGCAAGTGCGCCGATTTACAGTCCATACCTGCTTTTATTGGGCTCATTTTGCATAATAATTCAGGTGAAGTAGAGTACTCATTAGGGGGAAGTAAGGAACCATAGAGAACAAGGAACTCTGCTGGTCTATTTTGAGTCGGGGTACAAGAGCTGTAAGACTTCAAATTAACTTCCTCCTTGAACCCTTCTCATTCAGCTGACAGCATTCTAAACAAAGAAGGTTTCACAGTAATTTACATATTCTTTCTTAGGCCTGATCACCCGGGGAATCCGCCCTTCTCAGCAAAGAGCTGCACCACTCTGTCATTGTTTCAGGCTTAGGTGGAGCAAGGGAACTAAGGAACTCAGGCTATGTCAAAGACGAGGAGCGAGGGTTCATCACCCCCTTTTGCTGCAGCCCCCCAAGTCCTTCTTTTGGGGGGCCTCCCAAAGTGATCGTGCCTGCCTTAGGTCGTTCCCCCCGTGGGGAATCTTACCCATCTTTGGCTAACCAACCAAGTTTTGGGGGGTTCAGCAGCAGAAGCAGCATTCCTTCCAGGGAGATAAGCTTTTGTCTCCTTGCTGGCTTACGGTTCCAAGGGCGTTCCCTTAGCCTTAGCCTAGGCGGGGGTTACAGCTTCTGATACCAGTCAGGGCGGTTCCCAACAAGTTGATTGAAGAATCATCCCATGACAGAAAGACGGAGTGTTTCTATCCCTGGTGAGGGCAGAGGCCAAGGTTGCGGGGTCAATCTCCAGTCCTTGCAGGTTCGATTCCCAGTCTGGGCTTGTCCAGGAAGCAACCATTGATGCTTCCCTCCAATATCGATTTTTCTCCTCTTCCTTTCTCTCTAAAATCAATGGGAAAAATGTCCTTGGGTGAGAGTGATAAAATTGCAATTAAGAGAAAAAATTTAAATATCCAGAAGAGGTAGAGTATAAAATGAGTGGCACCTGCCAGACACTGTGTGGACCCCTGAAAGGTCACTGACCTGTGGTGCTGAGTCCCTGAGTGTATCTGACAGAGACACATGGGTGGATATATTGCCTGTAGTGATGCAGAACATGTCTAACTTTTTCCATCAAAAGAGACCCTTCTTTTCCCATCCGAAAAGAGACTTAAACAGGCATTCTGTTGCATTATATGAGAAAATGCAAGGGCTATTCCTAAAATCGGTCACTCCCAATACACAAGAAACAAAGGGTGATTTTTGCTACAAGTAGGTCATGGTAGAGAGATGCATTTCACTCAACATCTAGCTACTGGCTCTCCTTGTAAGAGTCCCTCTTGTAAAATAGTGACTACCTTCTCAAAAGAAAATTGTGGTCCCGCATTTGAGGAGAATCACTAGAAGTGGTAATGGGGGCACCTACCTTCCTATCTCATGGAAATAACTTGTAAAATACTGATCTTGCTATTATACTCAGGGTGTAGGACATACATCTGATGCCAAGAAGGATCACCAGAGCAGTTATCACTCTGTTTTCTGCTTCTGTTCAACACAAACATGATCACAAATGCATCCTACAAGCATGCTCACACTGTGACCAGCATTACACAGACTCAGAGCTGTGACTCAAGACATTATCCTGTGTCTCCAATAGCAGAGACCCTGTTCCACTGTGCTATGATCTGGCTGGGAGTGTCCACAAGTGTCACTCTTGCAGCTTGGATGATTAAACATGAAGGTACTGACTCTTTATCAGGAAAGAAAGAAGTAACTGGAAATATGTGAACTAGTAGCTGAAACAGAGAACATTATAACCAAGATGCAACTGCAGGTAGAATGACCATCCAGCCTGATTTCACAAGGAATGAGGTCATTTTCAAGACCTGGCGCTTTCAGGGCTGAAGTTGAGAGGTTTCACAGGCTGGGATGATGAGGTCACTGCACCAGGTCTTCTGGCTCCTAAGCTCAGCCTCCTTCATTGGTCAAAGGATGCTTGGCCTGAGTATTATGTGCATTTGTACTTTGTGATTCATCATAACTGGGATCACAGCTAGAAATGAGTTGGGTTATCATGAATATTGTATACTTTGGGGATCCCTTAGGAATGGGGGACACATCCAGCAGATATCTTAAAGAACCAAGCATCCATTTGGAAATATCCCGTCATAAAGGGAAGACATTTCACATGCAGAGCTGCTTCCAGTAGAATCACTCAGGAATCCGAGAGGAGGCACAATTTTGAGAGAGACAGAATCTTTCACTCAAACTCCCACCTGAAACATTCCTTGGTTATGGGAAATATTAGGAGGGTAGAAGGGAAGAATGAAAGAGAAGAAGAAAAAAGAAGGAAGACACAAAGGAGGGAAGGAAGGAAAGAGGGAGGGAGGGACAGACAGAGGGAAAGAGGGAGGAAATACTTTGTTTCATTCCCACATCATTGGTTGAAAACTGAATCCAGGCCAGTCTGCACAGGTGTGGGACACCAAGGGATTTAAACTTGGGATTTCTCAGAGGACTCTGGGTAATCTACCCAACAAGCAGAGCACAGGGCTCCCAGAGACTGTTACAATGAAGGGATTGGAATGAGTGGCCTCTGGATCCACAAAAACATTACCGAGGCAGTAAATCAAAGAGAGCATTTCCTTTTGTATTTAAGTGAGAGAGAATACCTGAAAAAAAAAAACCCCTGTATTTTCAAAGCTTTGGGAGAGGAGACGGGAATAGATAGAAATACAATTGTCCAGGCCTTGCTGCCTGAGCCCCCTGCACAGGGATGAGGGAGCATCTTCAGAGCAAGGAGGGAGCCTGTAATTTTAGGGCAGGTTTTGGTCTCACTTCCCCATCAACTTGCACCACTGTGGAGAGTGTTACCACTCCTATATGAAGCACAGTAGTAATCAGCCTCATCCTCAGCCTGGAGCCCAGAGATGGTCAGGGAGGCCGTGTTGCCAGACTTGGAGCCAGAGAAGCGATCAGGGATCCCTGAGGGCCGCTTTGTGACTTCATAAATCAGGAGTTTAGGGGCCGTGCCCGGTTGTTGTTGGTACCAGGAGACATAACTACCATACCCAACATCATTGCTGCTTCCAGCACAGGAGATGGTGACAGACTGTGCAGGAGACCCAGACACTGAGGGAGGCTGAGTCAGGGGAGTCTGGGCCCAGGAACCTGAAAAGAGCAGAAACACACTCAGTGCCCAGTTCAGTGCTGGGTCCAGGAGAGCAGAGGGGAGGTAAAGAAGCATCCCAGATATCGCCATGGTCTCCCCCCTGGAGGCCTCACCTGAGCCCTGAGTGAGGATGGTGAGGAGGAGCAGAGTCCAGGTCATGGTGGTGATCCCCCAAGAACATTGCCTTCTGATCCCCCAACCCTGGGCCTAGCTTCCCCAGACCTCTCTTATTCTGTCTTCCTGCCTCAGAGGAGGGAGGGGCCTCTATGCAAATCTGCTTCTTTTTTCTGTCTCCTCACCACACTCTGACCTGATCCTTGATTCTAGATATTTTGCATCCCTGGAGAGCAGAGCCAGTCTGAGGCATTCAGTCCCTTTGACATGGATTTTCTAGGACTGAGCCCATGACAGTGCCCAGGAAATGTAGTCTGACTTGAAAGGTCCCCATCCTCCCAACTGCCGGTTTGATGATGTGTTCGATAGGCTAAACATACTCTGAGTCCCAGTACCTTCTTTCAGTTCTGCATGGTTTTAGGGTGAGGACAGGGTTCAGAAGGGCTGGGGTCAGAAGAAATCTAATCGTTTTTCTTCTCAGGTACAGAAGGCAGAGCTGGTGGTTGTTCACATCCCTCGCCCCCTTCCTACCCTCCTCAGTAGCTTGGTTCTTCATCCTACCTGATCCATCTCTGCACTGCTCTGAGGCTGAGACCTGGGGACACTCATGGTCCTGTCTTGCAGTACAGATTGGGGACACTCTACTTCCAAATCTCCCTCTGGAGGACCTCAGTTGGAACCAGGCTTTGGGACCTCAGGCAGGCCAGGGTAAAGCCCAGCAAGGACCTCCCCAAATATGGGCTTTTGCTGCCACCTGGTGGCTCTTGTTGGAGTAACAAACCTGAAGGCCATATGGTATACCAGCAAGGTGGTTGAAAACCCCTGCTCTGCTCACCTCCCAGGCTCCCTCTTTCTCATCTCAGCTCATCTCACCTCATCTCAGCACCAGGCCCCTTGATTCTGTCTGTTAAAAACAGAAATAACTGGACAAATAGAGTAACTTTTGCTAAACTGAATCACCAAACCAAAATTTAAGGCTTAAGTTAATTGTAGTTTCAGCTGCCCCAGAGATGGAATTTAAAACCTAGCACTCTGGGATTTCCATGCCAGCACTGGTCAGGTCACCTGCCTGATGAGTCCCCTGCCTTCCCCGAAGGAAAGTGCCCTTGTCAGAAATAATCTATTTGTTTACCTTTTTACTCCCATCCTCTTTCTGCCTATAAAATATGCCCCCTTTGTATGCTCCTTGAAAAGCCCTTCCAGCTGCTGGGTAGGATACTGCTCAACATATGAATCCTGTAATAAAGCTAATTAGATCTTCCAATTCACTTAGTTGAAGTTCGATCCTTAACACTTCTGGTCCTGTTTACTGTCTTCTCACTTTGTCACCAGCTCCTTCCAGAATAAAATATGTTAGGTGCCATACCTGGTGGTCCAGACCTACCCCACAGGACCATTGGGGTGGTCCGGGTGACCTCATCACAGATCTGTCAGGGCTGAGGAAACATTAGACATGAAATAGTTTCAACCCCAGCTGGAAGGGTAGATGAAGAGAACACTCACTGAATGCTTTCTCAAAATGAGAAAAAATATTCCAGAAAGAAGAAGAAGTTGACTAGGATTGAAAATAATCTAATAAACAGCAAGAGTGGAACTCCAGTGTTTGAGGAGTTTGGAAGAGGAGAATGGGGTGAAGATTACTCCAAGGGCCCCATTTCAGGGACCTGCCCTCAGGCAGTGTCCATCTGTCACAGGGAGTAAGAAACTTTCATCCCACACATTGAAACAAACTCCAGCCAGAGCTCTGCCCCTTCCTCAGGTAACATCTCTTCCATCCACACAGAGATGTGAGGCTTTTCTAGGAAAATATGGGTTTGGGGTGCAGACTCCAATCATGGCTGACATATTCCACCCAGAGTGGAAACAGAAATGTCTACTCAGGAAGTGGGATAGGAGTTTTATAGAGTGCAAGAATTCTGAGGAAACTATTTTAGTGTCGCTGTACCTGACACGTGACAGACATGTTCAAGAGTACAAGAAGGGTGAGGTCTTGGTTAAGGGCAGGATGGGCTACAAGCAGGATTGAGGGACTGGGGAGAATGTGGTAAGAAAAACCTTGAGAAAACAACCTTCTCAATTGCTCCTGAACTTCTGGGCCCACCTTGGAAGTGTGCTTGTGTGGAGGGGACCCCAAAGAGCAAGGACAGATTTCGGAGCAGAATTAAGAGGCAGCCGGCTGCCCAGTTACCAGGTGGCTCAATCAGTGGGGAGCACTGTTTGTAGATCCATGCAGTGCTGGCCAGATTTAAAATTGAAGGGACATTTAAACACCCATTCACAGATAGCTGGGAGGAACTTGTTGGCCAAACCCAAATGGCAGATTATCTTCTAAAATAAAAAAGTCAACAAAACATTTAACAAGATCCACAGTTTCACTCCATAATATAAGATAGATCCAGAAGACAATCCTGAGTTACTAGACATATGAAGGACAGGATAACCACAACTGTAGGAAAGACAATCAACCAATGATAACCCAGAAATGACTCAGATGTTGGAATTACCTGACAGAAGACTGAAAAACTGAGCTCTTATTACAAAAATGACCAGAGTAGAGAAAACCCTCTTGAAATGAGTGACAATGGAAAGTGTTAGTAAAGAAACAGAAGATAACAAAAGCAACAAATGAACCCATTAAGAGTGAAAACCACACTAGATGGCAGGAATGGCATTTTTCCATCACAGAGAATCTTCTACAACTATGAGAGCACAGCTTTTTAACAGGAATTATTGAAAATGAAACACACATTTTTAAAATTAAAAAAAATTATCAGTGAGATGTAAGATAACAAGAGAATTAGTAAATGAGTAAATGGAGTCTCCAAAATTGAAGAAATAGCAGAACATCTCAAGGCAGAAAACATTCAAAGTTTAAAACAAAAGTATGAACCCATAGATTCAAAAAGCTCAACCAAGCCCAAGCATAAGAACCATGAAAAAGAACAAAGCAGGGACCATCCAGTCCACTTCTAGTTTTTGTAGAAACCCTTCTAGAGCCTTCTTTAAGCTTCAGTAACTATTCAGTTGTTAGAAAAACGTCAACAACAGAAGTTTGTTTCCTGAGAAGTCTGTGAAAACACTTCTCTCTCTCCCCCTCCCCCATGTCCATCTCCCTCCCTCTCTCTCTCCCCCCACCACTCATAACACAACCTGGAGTCTTAAGGCCACTTCTACCTCTACCCGACGTGGGTGCTGTATCATGGTATCACCATTTTGGCATCTCAGGTGACCCCCTTCTACAGGAGCAAGAGCTGCTCCCCAGATGCATCCCAGGAGCCTGTGGGAACACAGAGGATGTAGACTACACACCTGGACAGGAACAGTTTAAGATGCTGGATGAAAAGGGACTGAACACACACATCCATGCATTCCTCCATGAAACACCACCAACACTGTGTTGAAAAAATTCAAACACATCAGAAAACAAGGATATTGGTAAGAGGACTGTAGAGAAAAAACAAGTCAGGAATTGGATGCACACGTGTTACCTGACATAGGCTGAACAACGCCCAATCCCAAGGCTGAGGGAGCATGGACCTCAGATATCGGTTGAATTCTCAGTTGGCTGTGGTGTCCAAGTGATGAAGGGGAGTAAAACTACCAGTTAGAATAATGAGTGAGGAAGCTTTTAGAAAAGCAAGTACATGCTGTTTGGAACAGGCAGCCTGAACCCAACAATACAAGGAGCCTGCTTAAAACAAAATCAACATTTCAAACAACATTTCATATTGTTTCATAACATAACATAACAGTGGATATATCTGGGATAGAATCAAAACTACCCACAAACTATGAAGAAAATCTCAATTGACTAGAAAAGACACTTACCACATGCTAACCCCAATATGACAGGTATGCTGGAATTTTTTCCCAAACACATTAAAACAGCTATTTAAAAGCTGATGAAAGACATAAGAGGAAACCCTCTGGAAATGAGTGGAGATATAGAACATCTCAGCTGAGAAGTAGAAGATATAATAAACACAAAAAGCAAACAAAAACAAAGGAACTACACTCCATGGAATTGACTACAGACTGGAAAACAAGAGACTAGTGACCTCAAAGTCATAGCAAAGGAAATTGTACAATGTAAAATGTAGAAAAAAATAAAGAAATAAAATCAAAAGGTATCTGTGAACTTAAACTTGAAGTGGTACTTCAAGTACCTAATACGTATAAAATTGAAGATGCTGAAAGAGAGACACAGAGGAACAGAAAGAAAACTACAGTCCAGAAACTCAACAAACCCCCAGCACAAGAAACATGGAAAGAGAAAGAGAAAGAAAGAAAGAAAGAAAGAAAGAAAGAAAGAAAGAAAGAAAGAAAGAAAGAAAGAAAGAAAGAAAGAAAGAAAGAAAGAAAAGAAAAACTACTACAAGGTAAATTTACCCAATTCTTTGCTCTAGTGACCTTTTTGAAGACCCTGCTTTGGCTTCTGTAACTATTCATTCATTCATTCATTAGTAAAATATCAACCATGGGATTTTATTCCCTGGGAATTCTCCTTGGGTTGTGAATGTGGAAGTGATGGGAGTGAGGAAAACAAAAATTAGAGTGAGTGGAAGTTGTCACATAAGCAGAAAAACCTCCAGACCCACTCCCCACCAGCACCAAGGCTAACAGAGCACATTCCGCTGGCCCCTCCCCTGACCAGCTCTGTCTCAGCACAGGACAAAGGGCAGAACCCAGGCTGAGAGGAGTCCAAGTATTGTTGGCGCTGTGGGTATCGTAATGAGAAGCCTTGTGCTTTAGAGACCTTGCACCCTTTGACAGCCTCCCTCTGGAGATGATCTTGTTCCAGATTCTTCCTCAAGAAACTTCAAAGTTCACCCCCTGGGTCAGCTGATATCCCTACAGTATTGACAGCAATGGGACTGTCTTGAAACGTTTGGGTGTTGGGCCTGGAGTCTTATTTGCACTTTATGGTGTGAACTAGGTTCATCTCAGCACCAGCCGTGCACTAATGCCCTGATCAGCAATGGCTAATCCTCTGTCTCCCCCTCCCAGAGAAGTGATCAGAGACTGTGCTGGGAAAATGTCTGACAATATTCCTGCTGGAGGCCCAGTGCCTGCCCCTTTCTCAGTAAGGCCATGCCCCCAGTTCTGGGACCCTTTCTCTTCCCCCTC